GCTGCTGCTGCTGCTGATGTAATTGGTCTTATAGCAAACCACACAGATGCCAGAGAGCCAGAGACCCATCCTTCCGTTCTGTTCCTCTCCAGCGACAGACCATCGCTTAGTCATCAGTTGGCAGATGGAGTTGGAGCAGGAGCAGCAGCAGCAGCAGGAGATGCTGCCACATACGCATTCGCATTCGCATCCGCATCCATATCGTTGTCGTTGTCCTTTGTCGGCTAAGCAAATACTTGGGGGCTCTTCTCTCGCAATGCAATGCAATGCAACGCAACGCAACGTTTGCAGTTAATTTGCAAAATGTGAAACACAGTGGCAGGGAAAATGAGTTCATAATGAGTTCATATAAAATCCTTTATCAAGGGAAGATATCCAACATACAATATTATTAAATTTTCGTGTTTGTCTTTCGATTGAGTGGCGATTACTGCTGCAAGGCAGAAAGCAGCTCGTTTTCCTTCGATTCTGATGCTGTGTATCGCTGCTGCTGCTGCTGCTGCTGCTTCTTTATGTGCCGCAAATATTTGTCACCGAAGATATTGAGGCATGAGGCATGAGCATGAGGCATGAGCATAAGAGATTATTGAGTATCTGCTGTTTGGTTTTGGAAGAAGCTCATCTCTGTCCAGGAGTCTGCATCCTTGCATCCATTCTGCCCCATTTATCCATCCATTTGCTGTAGCAGCAGTTGCAGCATCCTGTTAAGCGTATAAACTGCCATATGTTTGCCACAAATACTTGTATTCGTACTCGTAGAGCCGCACATGCAACATATCCGTGTGTGTGTACCAGTGTTCCCCATTCACAAAGGCGAGCGCTCCCTCTCCCTCTCTCTCTCTCTCTTGCAAGTCGCTGCTTTGTGCCTGGCCCTAAGAGCCCCACTAAAGACTTATGGCATTAGAAAGGACACACCAACAGCAGCAGCAGCACAAGCAGCAGCAGCACAAGCAGCAGCAGCAAACAGCAACAGCAGCAGAGGCAGGCAACATAAGGAGGCAGCGGAGGCAACAACGACAACCGCAACAACTTAGCGCATGTCAGCAGCACATTACACGGAGCACAGACCTTTGCCAGGATATACGACTATGACCCAGTGCTGTGGTCAGGAAATTCGTATTTGAAATGGGGGTTTTCCCAGGGAGTTTTGTAGAATGATTTTAAGAGGCCTGCAGATTTTGTTTTAGCTCTAAAACGGTAGAACGCAGAAATCCAATTCAGATTACATTCTACTTCATTTAGCAATCTCCTGGCCAATACCTTTTTTACAATCCCCTCTTGGACTACAGCTCTGGCTGTGAACTCTGGACTCTACACACCGAACATGCATCATAGCCAGGCGCCATGGAGTTGATTTTTAGCCAGCAATTGCTATTGTTGTAATTGTTATGAGTAAAAATTACAAACTAGAGAACGATGCAGGAGACGCCACAAAACTGTAGACGAAGGAGCCACGCATGGCAGAGAGAGGAGGGACGGTTGGGGTGGGGTGGGGGGCAAGCAACTTCCAGCAACTCCGGAGGTTAAAAAGTAATATCTTTGGCAACAACAATGGCAAAGGGCGAGAGACTACATATTATATTTATGCCACTCTGCCACACACACACACACACACACACACACACAACAAAAACAACAAAATACACACACACAACAACAAATAACACACAACAACAAATAACACACACAACAAGAAACACACACACACACAATGTCTGATGTCTGTTCGCTGTTGTTAAAAGCAGAAATTCACATTAAGCTGAAAGAAAAGCGAACAAGAAAAAGGAAAAGGAAAAACCAGCAAAGACGAAGCTTGTGATACACTACAAAATAAAATAAAATAAAAAAATAAAAATAATGTTCCATAAACTAAATGAATACATAATTGTGCCTTAAATTGTAGCTTTTTATTGAGTCCTGTAAGGACTTGCAAAGGCATATACCAAGCAAAAGCCATTGAAGTGTAGATCACAAATTTTCTATAGGCACGTGCCCGTAAACACAGATATTTGATTTTACACTATGTACAAATTCCTAAAATAAAAATTTTAAATTTCAAATTATGTATTTTAGAATTTATTTAATCTATTTATTTTATTTTACTTTATTTAATTTTATTTAATTTTTAATGGAAAACTTATTTTTGTGTGTTAAATTTTTTTATTATTTTATTTATTTTATTAAAACAATTGAAAATTTCATTTTAGATTCAATTTTGTTCTATAATTTGCATGTGCCAAATAGACATCAGATTAGTTCAGAAAAGTCTCCTTGTATGGCGACTGCTTTCACCGAATCTTTCCATAGCATCTCTCTGATAGTTTTTTGTTGTTGTGTGTATTTTCATATTTCTATGACTGAACGAGCTTCCTTTGTAGCCTAATCATAATACCCTCTCGAAATTTATAACAACTGGACGCTCTCTGGCATTATCAGGGGCGGGGATGGGGCTTAAAGGGGCTACTGAAGCAGGGGACTTTGAGGGACTGCTGTCTCAACAAGGGCAAGCCACAAGTAAACGAGCCGATCAGCTTGTTTTAAGTAGAAAATACACACACACACACAAACACATATTAGTTGCATGGCTGGGCATAACAAAAAACATCATCCTGTCTGTCCTCATCCTGTGTGTGTTGTGTGTGTTGTGTGTTTCGCTGCTTTTGTAGCTTCATTCTTTATCTTTCTTCTGCTTGTTATACGCCCCTCGCCTCGTTGTTGTCGCTGAGCGCTGTAGCATGAAATCTTTTTAAAAAAACTACACAGACACACACACACACATTCAGAAACACACACACTCTGACACCAACACGGCAAAACAATGCCCAAAAATGCCATAATTCTTGGCCGTACGCTACGCACAAAAGTATGCCACACTTTATATGAAATAAATAATTACAAACAAGTCAAGCAGAAGACAACACCAACGCCCACACAGCAAGGATGTGATGTGGAAATGTTGGCAGCAAAGGGAGGAGTAGAAGTGAGAGTAGCAGTAGGAGTAGCAGTAGGAGTAGGAGTAGCAGTAGGAAGAGCGGAAGTGGTTGCAAGCGAGTTGTTTGCTCCAAAGTAAAATTCTAGTGCAAAGTGCATTACACTGTGGTTTGTCAAACACTGTGGGAAGGGAAAGAAACATTGGCAATATTATTAAAGAGAAACGTTGCCAACAAATAGCGGAATAATATAATAAAACGGAAAATAATTAGCGTAAAGATTTACAAAAAAAAAAAAAAATCTCTTTTATTGCAATTTCTGTAGAAAATTCATCACGTAATCAACTCCCTGTACATTTCAAAGCATTCCAACTTCGTTGCCGGGAAACCTATTCCCTTACCCTTTCAATTTGCCTTGGTAGCCGTTTTTGTTGTGTGTTATGAAGATGACATGACGCGTCGTCGACCTCTAACAAACACAGCCTCTCCAGCCTCACTCCACTCTCTAGCCACAGCCTCTCCAGCCAGTCTCCACTCTCTGGCCACAGCCTCTCCAATTCCTTCGACTAGACGACTCTTACGCAAAAACCTCAGCCACAAAAAAATAACTAAAAATGAAACAAAACTTTTCCAAAAAAAAGAAGAAGAAAAAAAATATATGAATGCAAGTTGAGTGAAAAAGTTTTGTGTTTTTTAAACATTTGCTCGTGTATTTGTTTTTTGTTTTTAGTGTTTTTTTTTTTGCATATTTTTTGTGGCAGAAGCATCTTTGAAGCAAAGGACCTCAACGAACTCTGTTACTCTTTGGGGCTGCTGCTTTTGGCTTCTCCTGTTTCATCATCTTTTTCCTGACTTCTCTCATCCACTGCCAACTGCCAACTGTTTCTGCATTTCTATTGCCAAGTTTTCAGCCTTTTTTCTCCCCCCTAGAAAAATGTTTCCCAGTGAGATCTCTCTCTCTCTCGCTGTGTGTGAGTGCACTTGCATTTATGAATGTTTAAGCAATTTTGCGAGTAGATGAAGTTTTTTTGGTGAAACAATTGAAAAATCCATAGAGACGCAGAGCAAAACTTTGGCTGTTCTCTGCTCTCTCTCTCTCTCTCTCAAACTCTAATGATGGCTAATTATTACAAAATACACTCGACAGACTCACATGAACAGGCAGGCCCGGCCGGCCAGGCTGCAGCAGGCTCTGTGTAGCTCTGTGCTGACCGACCCGACCCTGAGGGTTAATTTTCTGGAACGACAGTAAAAACTTTTGTATGCAAACAAAGTTAATTTACATTTTAAAATCCATCAGATTGCAAAAGCTTGTTTAAATAATTGCAAAAATGCATTTACCCCCACGGCTGACATAAGAAAAACTTTAGCATAAAAATAAACCAAAAATAAAAAAATACAACTGTTTTTCTTTCGACTTGCACATGGTAATTTTCCCCTCTTAGCTCTTGATTCTGAAATCAACTTAAATAAAGCAAATGAAATCCTATATGTATGCTCTATATATGCATCCCATATTGCAGCATGCATATGGCCGCATGCTGCATTTTGTATGCACAAAAAAGAAAAGGTTTCGGACCCCCGTGGGGTACTCCATTCATAATTATTTGCATGTAAAATAGCTAGCATGTAAATCGGCAGCCAAAGCAAATGTTTAACATGCTTTTTCTCCTATTTTCTCGCTGTTGATTTTGCACTGATCGAACTGCACGGGGTATTTTCGCCTCTAAATGTTTGGATTTGGTTTTGCCCGAAAAAAAAATTCCCTTTGATTAGCTGGCTCAGCTGGCAGGCAAGGAATTTCAATGGAAAAGATAGCTTTGTACAGTTCACCTTTGTGGATTAGCTTGTGATTATTAGCATTGATACCATATTATATTCTGTAAAATACGCGACGTCTCTTTGGCTAATGAAAGTGTTGAAATTTCAAAAGAATTTGCATGCTATGCAACATAAAAAGATTTTAAAAAAATAGCTTACCAATTGCCACTCCACCTGTGATTGTGACTGCAGAGCTAAAGCCGGTGGGAATTTTGTTATGGTGCTGAATGATTGGTAGTTTTTTTTTATCTTAGTCCATATATTTAAATACTTTTCAGTCGGCAAACATCGTTGAACGCTCTAGAAAATCACAAGAAAAAATACCTTTAAAAAATCAATATTCATATTCATGTAAATTAATTTTATAATATGTTTCTTCCCAAAATTTTGCTTTCGATTTTCTGCTGTCCTTCCTAGAATTTCTTAAAGAGCAGAAAAAGGTACAAAAAAAAAAAAAAAGAGCAAAAACAATTTGATATCAGATGGCAATTTGCTTTAGAAAAAAAGAACCCTCCACGAACCGACAGGAAAAATGTACCGAGTGGTTATATTTTGTATATTTATAGATTTCTATTTTAATGTTAGTGCTTTAAATGAAGCATGCAAAAAAGTTACATGACTTTTACGATTGATTTCGCTTTAAATATCACATCAGAATACGCGATACATAAATTAAATTATCTTTTAATTTCATTAGTTTTTACTTCTTTGCTTTCGCATTATTCTCGCATTTCTCGCAGCAAAAACAGCCATGAATCAAATATACCCCTTGCAAAAACAAGAGAAAAAAACAAATTCCCAACAAAAAAAAATGACAAGTATTTAAAGGGAAAAATACGAAACTTTAAGTAAACAAATGGGCGGCTTTTTTTCATCTTATTCTTCAATGTTTTTTCGGTGAGGAATAATTCAATTTCTCTTTTTTTTTATGCGAATGAACAGCAATTGTTAATTACAATAACAGTGCCCAAAAGTTTATCCATGATGGGGTTCTACAATGCAGCATATACAAAAAAAAATATATAGGAGCTTCTCTGGGACATGCGAAGTGGAACGACAATTAGATACCCGGTGGTCAGTTTCCATCAGAAGAGACTATAAAATACTTGTAAAAAATTCCATGTCAATTTGAATCCCACAAAAATATAAACAGTCCTGAAAGGACTTACTTATCGGTGCGAAGAAAGTGACAACAACAAAAACACACAGTCAATAAAATACACCATTAATTATATTGATTACGGGGTATTTTTAAAATAAAAGGTAGATACTGCATACATTTTAAGGGTGGGGGGTGGTGTGCTGGCCAGTGCACAGCAGCAATTGAAAATGCAGCCGCAGAGTGCATTGAGCTGTTTGTGTTTTATATACAATATTCTGCTGGTGCTGGTGCTGCTGCTGTTGCTGTTGCTGCTGCCAACCAAAAATCTCAACACAATATAGTTGTTGCTCTTCATTTGTTTCGTTTTTTGCGTACATGAAATACTATATAGATAGGAAAAGTAAAATCAAAAATAAAAAAAAAAAAAAGTGTTACGTGGCGTAACAATAAAGAGAGAGCTAGTGAAAAATATCCCCAAAATATATACATGTATGTATGTAGATGTATAGCGTATATGGGTAGAATGTGGCACATAAAAAACAGATTTGCGCTGAACAAAATACATGAAAATTGAAGCAGCGAAGTACGCAAGCCATAGGAATGAATAGTAGAATGGGAAAAAAGAGGGAAAAAGCAGAGGGAGAAGTGGTATTAAAACCAGAAAATATACACGTAAAAAACTCTGCAAATTTTTGCTGGCAGACAAATTAAAACTAAGCGCTGGATGTGCAAACAAGCTACCAAAAAGGCTGCCACTCGACCCAATGGCTGGCTGGCTGGCTGGCTGGGCTGCTGGTCTCCACTCCACTCGACCATTTGCTCCATTTAGCTGTATACACACACACACACACGCACATACACGTACAAGGGACTAACGGGTACTTGGCAACTAAACTGCGTGCTTAGTTTTATTTGACCAGTGCTGCTCCAACTGTAAAGCGAAGCACACACACACTGCGAATACCGAATACCTTATACCCTGAAATGTACCTTAAAATTATTGCTTAAAAAAAATATTCTTTTTTTCCTGCACAATTGCAAACTTTTCCCCCTTTGCATTGCCAAAATCTCAGCAACATCATCATACCCATCTCTCGCCTTAAAGGGTATCTCAAATTGGTATAACCAGCAAACAACAAATTTTGATTGGAATTGTTTTCCGTGACGGAAACTCTCATTTCTCCAATATTTCACCAGCAATTAAGGCGAAATTCATGGCATACTTTTGAGCGGAGAATTGAATTTAATGCATCACCAAAATCATCTCTCGCTCTCACTCAATTGGTTTCATAATAATAAAAAACTCTTTTAAGATTGCCATTGCATTTCCTTTTGGCAGAAAAGAGCGGAAAAGTAAACCAATTTGATTTCAATTATTTCCGCAGCGATTGCAATAGTTTTTATTTTGGAAATGTTGAAACTATTGCAAAATATAAAACATTTAGGGGGGGGGGTTACTAATTTAAGTATTTATGTTGCAAGTTTGGGCGTAAATATTTGGGCAAAAAAATGGAATGGCAAAAAAAAGGAATGCTAAAAAAAAAAACAAAAATTATTGACGGTTGGAGGAGTTCTTGTATAATTATCCCAATAAATGTAGCCTGCCTTTAGGGTGTGAAAGAAAATTATCTTGGAATTTAAGTGCTTTATTTGAGTTCTTTTTTTATAGAAATTTACTTATACTCTTTGTGGGGTTCCAAGGCTATAAATCTATTGCAGGATATATATATTGTACAACTTTTGATTTTCTCTATTTACATGCCAACAAAATGCATCTAAAATTTAGCAGAAACGCTTTTCGAGAACAACAATCACCAATTTGGTGGCCAGTTTGGATTCATTTCGCTTGCACCACACTCTACTGCCATGTTATGGAATGGGTTTTCCGTGGCATGTGAATTATTCATTTTTGTGGTATAGATTTACAATTTCTACATCTTTTTTTTTGGGTGTGTGTGTGTTTGTATTCGCTTTGACTGGTATTGATTTTCATTCTCGTATGCAATGCTGCAAAAATGCTACGAAAATAAATCAAATCAGTTTAGGAAAATCGCTGTGCATGTGGAAGAGAAGACAATTCGTATTTCTGTATTAATTAAATGTGTCGCCAGTTAAAATATATATTTCTGTATCTCTCTCTCTCTCTCTCTCTCTCTGTCTCTGTGTGTGTTTATTGCAGGCAAACTTTGGCTTTGGATTGGCCTGCTGATTGGAGTGGTGCAACAGATCAGAGGGGATGATTCGCTGGATACACGTGAAGGCGTCGATCTGGTGCTCAAGTGCCGTTTCACCGAGCATTACGATTCGACTGACTTCACCTTCTACTGGGCCCGTTGGACATGTTGTCCCACATTGTTCGAGAACGTGGCCATTGGCGATGTGCAGCTCAATTCGAATTATCGGTAAGTGCATGGATGTCCCCCACGCCCTTTTCCATGTCCCCTGTGCGCCACCCCACAGCAATGTCCTTTCGAACGGATGGACGGGACTGGACTGGACTGAACTGTGTGTGTTCAATGGACTGATAAATCACAGACGGCCTCATAAATTCAACGCTGATGGCTGTCAGACGACATGGACGGAAGAACGGGTTAAGGCAACCAGCCAGGACATTTATTTAATTGCCTGCCTGACATCGACACTCAACAGAGCCGAGGAGCCCGTAGGCCTTTGCCTCCTCCTCCTCCTCCTCCTACCACTCACATATTCATTGATAAAAAGATGAAAGATGCGCGGCATCCACCAAGTCGTCATTCGTCTCTTTCTCACTCGCGTGTTGTGCCTGGCGATGCGTTGCGATTCGATGCGTTCAACTGTTAAATTTATTAAAATTGCCAGCGACAATGTCGTCAACGCAATGTCATCGATGGGGCATTGTACATCATTAAATGTTCATCTGGCATGGGCGATAATTCATTAGCCCTGAACCCTGCAGCGTTGCCAAGAGGGATCGCCAGCACCCATCAAGCACAGCTGTTGGCCAAGAATTTTCTATGCCACACAAAAATAGAAAATTATTGCTCAAAAAAAGGGGCGAAAAATATGGTTTGGTTTTTTCGTGTGAATCTTGCTAATGAGGAAAGTCTGTCGGAATTGTTAAATCAATAAACACAGATTAGCGAAATATTTTAGGCGAGCGGCGAGCGGCGCGCGTCATGCAACAGCGTACCTCAGTCGGGTGTGTTTTTTTTTTTTGGAACTGCCATTTTTAAGCACCAAATTTCTGGATACAGCCCATTGTACGCTTTATTGGTAACACATTGCGTATACGCAACGTTCGCTGCTTAAAGAAAAAAAATAAAAATAAATAAAAGCAAAGGGAAACACTTCTAGAACTCTTCGGATAATATGCGTTGAATATTCCTCTCTGGCTGGCAAGGCAGGCAGGCAGGCAGCATATTTATTTATTAATCATAATAATCATTTTCCACAACATTTTGAGCGTGAATAAGCAACAACAACAACAACGAAAGAGAGGGAAAAAACAACAACAACAACGAAACAGAGGGAGAAAAGAACAGCAACAACAACAGAGAAAAAGCAAAGAAAAGTACACAAAAACAACAGCAAAAATTAAGAGGGGAACCAGTGGGGGCAAAGTCTGGCAAAGAGTAGGCGGGGAGTAAAAATCATTCAATGCGGCGTATGCTGCAAATCGTTTGGAAAATTTTGAACAAGGGCCACGCGCTATTCAAAATACATGCCACACACACAAAGGCAAGGCCTAGAGAGGAGGAGAGGCCGACGCAGCAGCAGCGGCCTAGAGACAGACAAAACCACCAGACGACAAGCGTAATAAATAAATGATCTATAAACAGCAATGGAATATATAGTAGGTATATATATAATATATATATATATATATATATATTCATGTACTGCATATATCACGTGGGCTAAGTGGGAGCAGAAAATACAACAAGAATTATTATTACAAAATGCTGCTAATCGCGCGTTAAACAATTTCCTTGATTTATGTGTGTGCAACAGCGAGAAAACAAACCATGGGGCTAATGGCCCAAGGCAAACAGCAGCAGCTGAAAATGGAGTGGGGGTTGAGGTTGAATGGGCGAGTTAAGGAAGGGTGTGATGGCATTTCAATTTCGAGCCAAATTTCATTCAAGCTTCAAGAAAATTTCAAAGAAATATTTAAATTTCAAAAAGAAAATAATGAAAATTATAAATAAATAATTAAAATTATAAATAAATAATTAAAATTATAAATTATAAATAAATAATTAAAATTATAAATTATAAATAAATAATTAAAATATGGAATATAAATTTTGATGCGCCTGAATATTCCTTTTCCAAAGAAATAATCTATCTACAAAATATAACTTTGAAAGGGTTTTTTAACAACATATTTTCAACGTTTTTTAAATTTTTTTATAAATAAAAAACAAACTTAAATTTTAAAATTATTTATTTCCGGATGAAAAATGTGTATTAATGTTTGTTGGTGTGTAAAGCATCAAGTTATTTCTGGAAATAAATGTAATGCACATATCCTCTTAGTTGCTCTACTTTTCTTAGCTCTTCTGTTCTATTTCCTACATTTCTTAGATTTCTTGCTACTGCTCATACCTCTTTTATTTTTTTGAGATTTCTTGCCACTTTTCGTACTACCTGCCAGAGGTTCAATTAAAGTCTTGCTAACATTTTCTGCTCCTTTGCCTTTAAGGCATTTCGTATTTCGTTGTTCTAGACAAAAGTACCACCCACCCACCTGCCTGCCCTAACTAGCCATTAGTCTCAGGCAGCAGGCAGCAGGCAGCAGGCAGTAGCCACTCTAAACTCTGAACAGCAGCAAAATAAAAAGAAAAAGGAAAGAATTTCCCCAGTCAAGTTGTAGATTGTTAAAAGGCCAACCAGAGATTTTTTCCCCGTTTCTTTTTTTAGCCCCCTTTATTTTTTAGAGAGCCCCATACATTTAGTCATTGACAGGAGGAGTCGGCGTAGAGACTCACAAAAGGCAATTGTGATCCTTAAAAGGCGTGACCGGGCCGGCCCAGCAGCCAGCCAGCAGCCAGCAGCAGGCACCAGGCCCCAGGATACGGTGTAAAAAATCTGTACAACATTTTTTTTATTGTGCACAAAAGGGTTTGCCTCTGTTTTGCATTGACATCGAAACAAAAGGCTAATTGGAATGTTAGACAAAAGAAAATGGCTAGTGGAATATCACATGGAACTAGTCTTTATACGATATCAAAAACCATCTCTGGGGGCTATCCACGCTCGCTCACTCTCTCACTCTCTCTATCTCTCTCTCTCTGCCTATTTTGTTTGAATTTGAATGCTCTTTTCGAGCAGGGTATATTGATAGTGCCATGTAAATATTTTTGAGCCTAAAAGTACTTTAAAAATTAAGAATTTTCCAAGAAATTCGAAGAATTTTCTAACTTGAAATTTATTTTTCAATCGTCAAGGGTATCCCCCCTTCTTCGTTGCTTCTCAAAAGCCACCCTTTGCCAGAAAATTGTTCTAATTTTTTTATGAAAAAAAAAACTGCTTGTTAAGTCAGGCAGAAGAAGGGAGAACCAGAAACAGCAGCAGCAGGCAACAGTAAAAAAAAAGAAGAAAAAAAAGATAAATTGTTTTTTAAATGAATTCAATAAAGCGTGTGTGTGCCACAAACAAAATACAGAAATATATAGAAAATACAGGACTACAAAACAGGATAACAAATAAAAAGAAGTGACTCTCTTTTGGTGGCAGAGGCAGCGGCAGGGGCAGGGGCAGGGGCTAGGGCTTATTTGCATTTCAATTTGCATAAGTGTAGGCAGAGATATTTCCATATATCTCTGATAGATGTCGCGACTGGGGGGGCGGCACGGGCAACCATTTCGGGCATCCAATTGGAAACAACACACGTGTTGCCATTTCCACAGCAGGAGCCTCTTTTCCGGCCAAAGAGTCAGCCCATTTGATCTATATATTTTGATGTATGTCTGTCTGCTGGCAAGGTAAAGGTTAAATGTTTACCCGCAGCCTAAAATGGTAGAAGTGCAGAAAGCAGCCTCTTGGGGGAGGCTTTGGGCATCCATTCCCATTGATAACAACAGGCGGCGTTTTGCATAAATAGCTGAAATTATGGCGCCTGTACAATCCATCACCATCCATGTATATGGTAACATAAGGATTTGAGAGAAAGGATCAAATGAATCTTCCTTCGAAGCAGAAAGCAGCAAAAAAAAAAAAATGGTGACCCCTAAAACCATGCTAGAGGACCAGCTGGTGCTGGTGACCCCCACCAAGCCCAGGACAGAAGCAGGGCACATGTTTCTGGTGACCTCGATCAATCGTTGACTTATTTTATAACTCCCTTAAAAGGAAAGTTGCCTTTTAAACTCATTTTTTCGTCTTAAAATGTAATCAAAACTCCTTCAATTTTATTCGCTAAAAAAATCATCTTCAATAGGTATCGAAATACGAGCATAAATGCTATATCCGCTTAACTCTCATGGTATCTCCTTCGATTAAGGTATTGCCATTTAACTGCCTCTTAAAGTCAGCAAAAATCCAATAAAACTCGTAAAACAAAAAGATCAAAAACTCGAAATCATTTAAGCCATTTCCCCGCCCCCATTCCTTCCTACGGCTTTCTGCTACAGCTTGCAATAACTCCCATGAGAGACCTGCCATGCCATGAAAAATTTTTTTTGTACGATAGGAAGAACCACAACAAAGAGGCAAAAAAAAAAAAAAAAGGCGGCAGCAAATCAAAATTAAAAATCGATAGACAACATGAGTTTCATATTAAATTTTCTTTTAACACAATTGAAAAATGCCCCGCCTCTCGTTCTCGCCACTCGTTCTCGTCCTGATGCTGGCGGATGCTTTTCCTGCTTTTTGCTCTATCTGCTCAGTGAAAAGCAAATTTTGTTGTTGATTGTTTCGTTCACTCCAGCGGGTTTCCTGGTCGAAATGTTTGTGGCACTTAAACAACACAAAATTCCAATATCATTCAACAAACAGGCATCGTCAGAGCAGACATACAAAATGGGTGATGCGGGTGGGGCGAGTGGGTGGCCTGGACTTGTTAAGGTCATCAAAATGACAAAACTCGAGCGGGGGCGGAGGCGAAAAAGCAAAGCAGATAAGAGCCATGTATCGGACGGACATTGGTCAGAGCTTGTATGGTGTACACAACCATCCATCCATCACTCATTCACTTATTCATTGGAATCATTCATTCAGCGTGTTTGTAGCAAGGCCTACTCGATACGTGATGGAACGTTGCCATTTTGAAGGCTGATTGATTCCATCCACAAATAGAAATTAGCTGCTCAAGTGCTTTTTGGGTGTAAGGAGTGACTTTTACAATTGCGTACAGGGCAAAGGGTGTGGGGTATCCTTTTCCAGCTTCCATCTTAGGGCTATTTTCAATCATTTTTTGAAG